ATGAGCTCATTTGATTCGGTTGATGCTTTTCCCACGTAATTCGTTCTATCACTCGAACACGCCCATGCGGTCACTTGTATTGGCAAGTGAGCGCACATTATGTCCGACTCGTCCCCTTCACCTTTTCGCTCACCGCTACGTTTTTCGGGGTCTGATTGTTTTGTGAACGGACTTGTCGTGTAAAGGATGCGGTCCTCGGATCGGTTAGGTTTTATCTGGACGTTTGGTGGCGTTAGCTTTGTATCGACCTTTAGTTTTCTTTCTTGTGTGAACGTAATAATGTGACGGGAGTGTAGACCTGACCGAAACTTACTTTTACGCGCTATTTGGCGAGAGGAAACTTCATGCGGAGTGAAACTTTCCGGAGAACCTAAATGGTAATTTTTCCGAATATTCGTCCAAAGTGAAGATTCTGTTCTGTTTGTTCCTACGCTCCACATATGATTCATAACCGATAAGTTTACCAGAAGGAAACTCAGCAAATTGAGCCTGCAGGACTTAGCCATGTCATTTGTGCACACCGAGGAATGAACTGGCGCCCAAAACCGACTACTGCAAATCTTGTTTTGACAATTTGTCTCTCGGGTTTATGTTAGCTATGAAAGGAGCAAAGCCTTCGCCGAGGAGTTGCTTATTGGAAAACACCAACTGAACAGTTACAGACTATCGGACAGGGAAGCAAAACTCTCATATGCATCTTGTTTACAAAAACCCAATATCCATATTCTTCTTGAACGCGTCTTCCTGAACTTTCCTAAATATGCATTGACTGTTACTCAAACGCAAGTGAGTGCTACAAAGTGACTCCGCAAATTCCGTAATAGATCTCACTTTTCAAGAGATGTGTATCGGATTTACGAGAAAACATACTACTCGCGTGCCCCATCAGTAGTACCCACCGTCATACCGATAGCTCGAGAATGACTGAATCAACACCGGTAGCGGAGAAATTGATAACCAGCTTTTGATATTGAGCTTACGTCCAGTGCATGTCTAAAATAGTCAAAAGACCGTAATAGTCATCATTCTGCTTGTCGGCTTATCCAGTAGTTGCTTCCCGATCTTTCGGTTGGTTTCTCAACGGAAAGCGTTAGGGCGTTTGTACTACTGTTGCCCTAAATCACGGAAACGCGGTTTTGACGCAGACCGAGTCGCATTTGCGCGAGCGTCTACAGTGCTTGAGAATCTCATAGGTCAGGCGCTTCCCATTTCACTCACATTTCATGAGAGCTCAGTATGTTAGAGTATCGCGAAAGCAGTGCAGGCTAGACGTACGGAACCAAATTTGTGTGTCCAAGTGACGTTGAATAGAGTGATTGGTTTACTGTTGACATAACAGCCGGCTAATTCTTATGTTGTTCATATTACGCATAACCATACTGCCTGAAAGTGACCGTTCATACACCGATTTTTGAGTTGTGTGACTACATGCTTCCGATGAGTACTATCAGAGTGCTGTCATCTCGTACTATACACCTCCCTTCGATTTTAGCGAACCAAATAAGTGACTTAATCTCTTAAGGGGACTCGTTTCTTCAACCAGAATCTTGGGAAACGGAGTGTACTCATGAAGATGTGAGGTTTTCCCAAATACGACTGCTAGGCGGGGTCTCCGGAATTCATTTCTGGTAATGAAGTAATGTAACACCGTAGACAACACGCATTCCTAAAGTTTCTTTAGAATGGTGAGTGTGAAAGCTAGTCGGGTCATCTCTGGGTGTAAGCGTGCGTTTACATTCCTTGTCTATTTCTCCTGTGCTTCACAGAGTTAGGGTCCCTTATGGAGGCAACTAATCCAGAGGTCAAATGGGTGGCTTAGAAGGACGGCCTTTAGCGGTAGTTAGGACGGAACTGGACGTAACCGGGCATTCGGACCGTACTAAAGGTCATTTCTTGGGAGGTATCGTCAAAATAGAGAATCGGATACACGCGAACCGTTTCGAAATTCTAAGCTGGTTTGTATTCTACAAACTGTTCTCATGTGGATTGCATGGAGGTTTAAGCGCTCTGTTTCCGTAGAGTTAGTTACTTATTTTCTAGCTGAACATTTCCCGAAATGGAGTTCTTCACCTGATGAGATGAATTGCATTCAAAAGGGGCCGAACTAGCCTTATTCTAATTTTCCAAAGCAATAATTTGCGGTCAAATAATGAATATGTAAAAGCCAAAGAATGGCGTGGCCCATTTGTTAGTTTCGAAATTCACGTGATGTGGTAAAGGTCACATCAGATCACCTCACTGTCAAGCGACATATTTCATGAATTTATTTGTATTGGGTTGGAATTATGATCAACAGAAATCCGAAACTTTATTCCATATTGCACGTGCTGGTTTGTTCAAACTGGTATCGGCCAACACTGAGCTATCGGAAGCATCATTAACTAGGCACATTTCGAGCGATAGTTGGGCCGATTAGCTATTCCACAATATACCGTGTTTGTCTCAGGAACAACCTCGAATCGCAAGTTTTAAGTAATTTCTCAATGGTCAAAGCACACATATCACTCTATTCGACTAACATGGAATATACAAAACAATTTTGTCTGAAAACTGTTCCTGTGTAGTACAAACACACCAGTTATTAAACAGCATATACGTAAACCTTTCTAGTATTCCGTAATCGATGACTGTGCACGGTCTCCCGTTCCCCAACTCGTTATCTAAACTCCCTCACTTGTTAGGATGGCATCAGTCGAGATGATACGAGGCGGTGTGCAGTTATCAGCGAAATCGCCTGGGTCTGAAAGTACAAAATCCAAGTAGGGTTAGATCCAACTAACCACCCCATCCCCATCCCCAAACCAATTGTCCCAGCACCCTTGGACGAACACAGGTGAACGAAATCTGTGAACGACCTCAAGAGGAATTTTCCACTAAGGTGTCCCAGACTGAAGAAGCGAGGACGAAAAAAATCCGGGTTCATCATAAAGACGAAACCCACCTAACCAATCTATCGTAAATCTTACTCATCCCCACTACTCAACAAACAGGAACATCAGACTGAACACCCAGCACGGATCACGTCACTAGTTATAAGGAATCTCACGGATTGGTTCTCTGACTGCCTTAAAACCCAATCAGCCTACTTACTTATTCACTTGACCTGACAAAGCATTTGTATCAAAAGCGAAACGTTGCGCAGCAATAAATCCGCCGATTGTTTACCAAACCTCTCTGAAACAAAGGCGTCTGAGAGTTGGAAATGCAAAATACGAAGGCACCGTCCGTTTCTACAACGCAACGATGTGTCGACCTAGTCCATTTATTCATTATATTGCAATACTCCGGCTGACGTGAAATAGTCAACATCCCGCAGTTCGCCTTCTCGTTTCCCTAGTCAATCGAAACAAATGGTATCCGTATTCTACATGGATTACTCATTCATTGCATCCAATGGACGACAAAGATTTGTCCTCATGTCAACGATTCATAGTACGGTCCGTCTACTTGCAGGAAAGTCACCGTGATGTTACAGACTGCTTCACTGAATGGATACCTTCACGTCTCAAACCAAACGAACGAGACTCCATGAAAGTCCGAAGGAGAGCTGTTGACTTGGGCACGCTGATTGAGGTAACAGGGCCTAGAGCATCCACCCCTGTGGAAAGTGGAACCCGTACTGATGCTAGTTTTGGTGTTCTCTCAACACGCTATATTACAACACGATCACCCACTGCAACTTAAAAGATGGGAAGTGTCCAGAGCAGTCATGCATGCAACAAAATCCGACTTCCCAATCAGTGGAAGGATTCGGAGACAAATCCGACACTGAATTGGAAAATCGCGCCACTCCCACAGTCGGAAAGTAAGCGACGTGATCGCGTCAGAATCGATTACTATGTGGGTGGGGACTTTGCACAAATTTAAACTGGTTTGTTGATCGCCTGTCTGACTGGTCGCGGCCATTTTCATAGCCACAGTATGAGCAGGTGTTGCTTCGTCATTTGAGAAGAGTGGTGTCAGAGGTTCCAGGGATTGCAACGACGTAACTCCGGACCCCTATAGCTGTTCTGTACAAGTGATCCCGGTACGTCGAATAATGATATTGTTCAAGATGTCATCGACGCCAACAACGTGTCGACGTGAAATGTGAAGTTAACTCAGCTGGTTAGAGTGAGTTCATTCAAACATTATGACGGAAGAGGGGGCTAAGAGGATATCATACAAACAACATAAACGAGAGTTCAAGGAGCGTCTCGCGTCAAAACAAGTAGATATGCAACTAAGAGTATCTGTCGCGACAAAGTTATATTAAATGAAAGTCCCCGACGTCACCAGATTTGTGTCAAGTACCAATTTGCCAAACATTATCTGTGGTGTATACAGTCATAAAACTCCGCGCTTCCAGGGTATTATTACTCATTCTCGTCCGCGGTCCTTTATCAATTACGAACCGATAAATTCAGCAGTAATTGAAGAATTCATTGGTTTCAGTGCGTCATAATCGCTCAGCATTCTGTTGGTTCTGTCGAGTTCAATCTAGTGGGACAACACAGTTATATTCCAATGACTAATGTTCATCACGATGATAAATTTCCAAAACTATAGCATTATCCATCAGATTCTAAAGGTGAATGGCACTGAGAATCAGCTTTAACTTGTTTGTTCCTTTAGAGTCGTTACCAGTTTCCTCTTCAGCGTGATAGAACAAGTCCCGTGGGACATTCAACAACCGAATCAACCGACCTCATATTCTTCATCGAAAGAAGGGTAACTCGATTTGTTGAGTTCCACTTCGTATGGGGACCTAATGTTTACCAGCTTACGACGCGCTTTCCGTCCCNAAACAAAGGCGTCTGAGAGTTGGAAATGCAAAATACGAAGGCACCGTCCGTTTCTACAACGCAACGATGTGTCGACCTAGTCCATTTATTCATTATATTGCAATACTCCGGCTGACGTGAAATAGTCAACATCCCGCAGTTCGCCTTCTCGTTTCCCTAGTCAATCGAAACAAATGGTATCCGTATTCTACATGGATTACTCATTCATTGCATCCAATGGACGACAAAGATTTGTCCTCATGTCAACGATTCATAGTACGGTCCGTCTACTTGCAGGAAAGTCACCGTGATGTTACAGACTGCTTCACTGAATGGACGCTATCACGTCTCAAACCAAACAAACGAGACTCCATGAAAGTCCGAAGGAGAGCTGTTGACTTGGGCACGCTGATTGAGGTAACAGGGCCTAGAGCATCCACCCCTGTGGAAAGTGGAACCCGTACTGATGCTAGTTTTGGTGTTCTCTCACCACGCTATATTACAACACGATCACCCACTGCAACTTAAAAGATGAAAAGTGCCCAGAGCAGTCATGCATGCAACAAAATCCGACTTCCCAATCAGTGGAAGGATTCGGAGACAAATCCGACACTGAATTGGAAAATCGCGCCACTCCCACAGTCGGAAAGTAAGCGACGTGATCGCGTCAGAATCGATTACTATGTGGGTGGGGACTTTGCACAAATTTAAACTGGTTTGTTGATCGCCTGTCTGACTGGTCGCGGCCATTTTCATAGCCACAGTATGAGCAGGTGTTGCTTCGTCATTTGAGAAGAGTGGTGTCAGAGGTTCCCGGGATTGCAACGACGTAACTCCGGACCCCTATAGCTGTTCTGTACAAGTGATCCCGGTACGTCGAATAATGATATTGTTCAAGATGTCATCGACGCCAACAACGTGTCGACGTGAAATGTGAAGTTAACTCAGCTGGTTAGAGTGAGTTCATTCAAACATTTCGACGGAAGAGGGGGCTAAGAGGATATCATACAAACAACATAAACGAGAGTTCAAGGAGCGTCTCGCGTCAAAACAAGTAGATATGCAACTAAGAGTATCTGTCGCGACAAAGTTATATTAAATGAAAAG